TCTTTTCATTTTAAGGCAATACCTGGCTCAAAGCAGTAGCACAACACAAGAGCACACAGTGATGGCCAGCCCAGCTCCCTCCCCAGACCACTGTCCCCATGGACAGTTCCAAGGTACCACTTAATGTGTTACTTACTTAATGGGTACTTACTTAATGGGTTTCTTTTCATTTTAAGGCAATACCTGGCTCAAAGCAGTAGCACAACACAAGAGCACACAGTGATGGCCAGCCCAGCTCCCTCCCCAGACCACTGTCCCCATGGACAGTTCCAAGGTACCACTTAATGTGTTACTTACTTAATGGGTACTTACTTAATGGGTTTCTTTTCATTTTAAGGCAATACCTGGCTCAAAGCAGTAGCACAACACAAGAGCACACAGTGATGGCCAGCCCAGCTCCCTCCCCAGCCCACTGTCCCCATGGACAGTTCCAAGGTACCACTTAATGTGTTACTTACTTAATGGGTACTTACTTAATGGGTTTCTTTTCATTTTAAGGCAATACCTGCCTCAAAGCAGTACCAGAATGCAAGAGCACACAGTGATGGCCAGCCCAGCTCCCTCCCCAAACCACTGTCCCCATGGACAGTTCCAAGGTACCACTTAATGTGTTACTTACTTAATGGGTACTTACTTAATGGTTTCTTTTCATTTTAAGGCAATACCTGCCTCAAAGCAGTACCAGCACACAAGAGCACACAGTGATGGCCAGCCCAGCTCCCTCCCCAGCCCACTGTCTCCATGAACAGTTCCAAGGTACAGTGTTACTTACTTAATGGTACCACTGTAATGAGTTACTTACTTAATCCCCATGGAGTACAAAATGTGTTACTCTTAATGGGTAATGGGGTTTCTTTTCATTTTAAGGCAATACCTGTGTCAAAGCAGTACCAGTCACACAAGAGCACACAGTGATGGCCAGACACGTTGTGCACCTCCTCATTAAACAGATGTTCCCGAAAGAGCCTCTTCCTATGCAGATGGGGTCTCAGCCATGCTCCCGGTTAGGACCTGCGTGTCTGCTGTGCCACCTTAAACCGCATGGACAGGACATCTTTTATCCCAGCCTCTATCTCGTCGTTGGCCTGCACAGACCCAACACCTTTGGGAGATCCTGTCAGAATCAAGTCTCCTTCTTCCAGGGTGACTATTTCACTGATGTAGCTGATCAGGTAAGGGATGGAGAAGATCATGGAGGAGGTATCCCCTTCCTGCCTTAGCTGCCCATTCACCTTGAGCCAGATCTTCAGCTTGTGAGGGTCTGGGATCTTCTCCTTGGGCACAAAGTCGCTCACTGGGCACGATGAACTGAAGCCCTTGGCCAAGGTCCAGGGCAGACCCTTCTTTTTGCACTCCTCCTGCGTGTCCCTGGCTGTCATGTCCAAGCAGAGGGCATAGCCAGCCACGTGTTCCATGGCAGCCTCCTGGGGCACGGCCTGGGCTCTCTTCCCGATCACCACCCCCAGCTCCACTTCATGGTGCAGGTTGCTGCAATAGTACGGCCGCAGGATGGGCGACCCTTCGCGCACATAGGCCGTGGAGGGCTTGAGGAAGAAGAGGGGCTCGCGGGGCAGCGCGCTGCCCATCTCCTTGGCGTGCTCCGCGTAGTTCCGCCCCACACACACGATGTTCCTGCCCCACTCCCAGAATCGAGACAAGGGTTTGGAGGAAGCCATGGCCGCGCCGGCTCCTCTTCGCCCTTGGGCTGTCCTTGCCGGGCCGGGAGCCCCGCTGCCGCCTCCGGCCCGCTCCCTGCCCGCCGCGACCGCCCGGTGCTGCCGCTCGTCCCCCGCCTCCTCACCCGGGTCAGCGAATCGCCCGTGCCGGGCGTGCCGAGCGGCAGCGGGGAGGCAGGAGGACGCCGAGCCGCGCAGCACCGCCCCTGCCGCACGCCGGGCCGGGGCCGTGCCGGGCCGTCCCGGGCGCCGCTGCCCGCCTCCCCGGGGCCGGCCGCGGGGCGGAGAGCAAAGGTAACCGGGGCCGGGGCTGGGCACCGGGCGGGGCGCTTTGCACCATGCTCGGCGGGGGCTGGCAGGGCCTCGGCACCGCCCTAGCGGCCCTGGGAGCTGGGGCCCTGCTCCGAGCCGGTACGTGGGGCGGGCGGCGGTGGTGCTCCCGGTTAGGACCTGTAGGGGCGGGCAGTGGGGCGCGGGGAGCTGTCGCCTTGCAGCGGGGCCGGGGTTGGGCAGTACCGGGGCGGAGGGGCCGTGCGGAGAGCTGGGTGGCTGCGGCCAGACCCGGGTTTGGCAGCGGGTCCCCGCCAAGCTCGGAGATGTGACGGTGGATTTTCTGATCTCGTTTTCCAGCTTAGGGGTGCGCCCAGGTTTTTAAGCTGACTCACAGCCCCAAGTAGGTCAGTTTCTGCTCAGCTGGAGCCGGGCTCTGCGGACGGTTTCTATCGATAACACAGCTGGGAGGCGCCTATGGAGCCTGGGCTGGCAAAGCGCAGGTCTTTGGGATGGGAGGAGGGCTCGGGGATGAGGCTGGTGTTTACAGTGGATTTGATGCGTGGCACATTGCATTGGCAACGTAAACAAAAAAGCAATACCAAACCTGAGCTTTTGCGTTTACGTTTAGGGCCTAAATTCTGCCAATGGCCTTGAATTGGAGCCTGGGCTTTAGCTTCACAGTGCCTCTGGGAAGTCTTGCTATTGTGTTGCTCCGGTTTTAAGATCTGGCTTTCATGACTGAGAATTCATTGGAGTTAACTGCCAGACTTGCAAACCCTGATGCTGTCGTAGGAACAAATGTGTCAAACCCAGTACTAGCTGCTCCCGAGCTCTCCCAGGGTGCTGGGTGGATGCTGCACATCCCATGCAGGCTTTGGTGACAGTGGGTGGCCCTGGCTATGCTGCTGGCAGCATGTGCCAGTCAGGTTGGCAAGTTAAGTGGGAATGGGAGTTGTCTGTGGTTCATGAACCGACTCACTTGGTGGTGTGTGGAGCCACAAAATTGCAGGGTATGTGAAAAATACCTGCGTGTGGAGCATATAAAATGGAATGGAGTGTTTCTTTCTCTGAGTCAATGCAGGGACATGCATCTGGGTATGTGTGGGCAGTCATTTTTGAGTGACAGCTGTGTCTGAAATAGGATTTTCCCACTCTTTTCTGTAATAAAATGAATAAACCAGAATTCTGTGGAAAAGGGGAAGCATCCCTTTTCTGAGGGAACCTCCCCTTTTCTGAGGGAACCTCCTTTTCTCCACCGTGCTGCTGCCTGCCTGCCTTCAGTCTCCAGCATGCATGCATCTGTGTGATAACATTAACATCTCCCCTCTGCAAACCCTTCCCTCTTGGTGACTCGTTGCATGATAGAACTGTCCCAGACAGCCCAGTGTGAGTCAAAGGCTGCTGGTGCTCTGCTCTGCCTGTCTCACTCCACTTCAGGCATGAAGCTGGGAGGGACATGTTACAAAACCAAGCAAAAATGAAGTCATCAGGTGTTAATTTTAGAGCAGACCTGCACGTAGTGCAGTGATCCATGCGTTACAGAGCGGCTCTGCCCTGGAGCCAGGCTGAGAGAGCTGGGCTGGTTCAGCCTGGAGAAGAGAAGGCTCCTGAAGGGGAGACCTTAGAGCAGCTCCAGTGCCTAAAGAGGCTACAGGAAACCTGGAGAAGAGCTTTGGACAAGGACAGGTAGGGGCAGGCCAAGGGGAATGGCTTTAACCTGCCAGAGGGGAGATTGAGATGAGCTCTTAGGCAGAAGCTCTTCCCTGTGAGGGTGCTGAGGCACTGGCACGCCCAGAGAAACTGTGGCTGCCCCATCCCTGGCAGTGTTCAAGGCCAGGTTGGACGCAGGGGCTTGGAGCAAGCTTCTCTAGTGGAAGGGGTCCTTGCTTGTGGCAGGAGGTTGGAATTGGATGAGCTTTAAGGTCCCTTCCAACACAAACCCTTCTATGATACGATCGTAGATGCTGGACCAGGGCAGGGGTTTTGTGTCACCTGGGGAGTTTCCTTGAGCAGAACGGTGCTGGAGAACATGTCCCTCTCACGAGCAGCTCAGGCTGTGCTCTGCTCTGCTCACCGAGCCAGCAGGCTGGAAAGGTGCAGATGGGAATTCAGAAGGAGTTTCATACGTTGTGAGTGTTTTCTCATTCCTTTGTCTAAGTCACATTTTGGAAGACGCTTCTTTTTTGCGGTGTTGCTTGTTTGTTTGTTTTGCAAGAATGGTGAATTAAACACGCAAAGAGACTTTGGAATCAGGGCCAAGGTTAGAAATGCTTCTGAGGAAGAAAGTGTTTTAAGTGGGTGAGTAATTCCTTTGACTTGATGTTAAAGTAGTGTTTTGTTCTCTTTTTTTTTCCCCCTTCTGTGTTTCCCCTCTAGTTGGTGTCTAGCGCACAAACAAACATGCATTATATACAGCTCTTGTGACTGATGACAGCATCCAAATGTGACTGCCATCCAAACTGCCATCACATTAGGCAGCAGTGAAAGACAAAATTGATTATTTTTCCCTATCAAGGAATAGTAAGGGTTTTTTTGTTGTTCTTTTTTTTGAAAGGCCTCTTCTGCTCCAGAAGAACTGTCAGCAGGTAGGGATGCTTTCCTCAGTACTACATTCCTTCACTGTCAAGTACCCAGTGCATGCTTACACTGTTGTGCCTTATAGTTCTCCTTGTAGCACTGTGTTTAATTTTACTCCCACCTTCCTTCCACCATAGTCAAGTGGGATGGTGGAGGCAGAAAGGGACAAAGTTCTGGGCAGGGCAGTAGTGCCAGAGGGGCCTTACAGCCTCCCTGGGCTGGGTTTAGAGCTGCACACCCCGGTCAGAGCTTGGATCTTGGTTTTGCAGCCTGTTGTCACTGTGGGGGTGTGGGGGGGGATGTGTCTGTTTTGGCTGTAGGCAGTCTGGGGCTTCTTCTCCCCAGGGCAGGCTCTTATCAAGGCTGGGCAGCACAGATGTAGTTTGGGAGCATGGGGCAGGCTGATTACGAGCGTGGTGACCTCTCCCTTTGGCACTGGTTGAGGTGACCAAGCACGGAGAGTTGGAGCCTTGGGGAGAAAAGTCAGTGGTGCAGAATGGAGCAGGGGCTGAGCCAGCCCAGTTCAGAGCAGCACAGTCACACTTAGTGGTGTGTGAGGGCCTTGAGATGTTAAGACAACTGATCTGTGACTTGCAGAGACTGACACCTCTTTCCCTGTGTATATGTATGGACCAGAGCCCCAGCAGTGGAGGACCTTGTCCTCTTTGTTGCTTCATGGTTTCTTTAAGGCCTATTTGTCTGTGAGTTGAACAGTGGAGCCCAGGTTGCATCTGGAATTAGGTTTGCTGCTTGGATCTGATTAAACATTTAACCAAAAGCAAATAGGGAAGCACTGCTGTTCCGTCAAGGTGGCCTGTGAGCAAGAAACCTGCCTGCAGTTCATGCCTGGTACCTGGCAAGGCAAGAGCCTTGCCTGCCATGTGAGAGACCATCTTCTCTCTATGCATGTGCAGGATGTGATTTTCCCAAGTAACAAGCCAGATACTGCTCTTGTAGCAGTGTGTGCATTCGTGTAGTTCTCCTTTTTTTGTCCTTTGGCTGTAAAAAATCTGTGCTTTTATTTGCAAAGTCACTGTCCTGGGCCGACCTTTGTCCAGCTGCTCCCTCTCCCTTCTGCTTTCCTGCCCCTTGAAACCTTCTCTCTAACTGAGGTGCAGTGCTTTCCCTGCATGAGCACATCTCTGGGAGCAGAGTGTTTCATCCCTCTTTGGTGCAGATGCAGGGCACCAAGGGCCTCTGGTGGAGTGGGGCACAAGATGACACAGCCAGGCACGAAGGCTTTGCCCCATGGTGGCCTCTGAAGCAGGCAGGTTGGGCTGTCCATACCCTTCCTTCTTGGGCTGTGAGGTGGGGACCTGCTGTGCTCTGTCCCACTTGTTCCTCTCACTGGACTAACCTGGGGTTTGACTGTCTTGGGGTCCCCAGGTCCAGCACAGCTGCGAGCTATCTTCTTGCACACAGAGCACGAGCAGAGGAAGTCAAAGACCATCACACAAGCCAACATGAAGGTGGAATTGCTCCCAGCCCTCACAGACAACTACATGTACCTCCTCATCGATGAGGAAACGAAGGAGGCTGCAATAGTGGATCCTGTGCAGCCCCAGAAGGTAATGCTGTCTGCTGCTCTTGTGAGCAGGGTGCTCACTGCAGCAAGTCTGGGACATCCTTCCAGGTTGCCACATCCATGAGGGAATTAGTCATATGCTGACTCAGGCTTGGGGCAAAGGCAGGAAATACTGGCCATGCACAGGTACAACACAGCTTCACAGGCATCTTCTTCTGGGCTCAGACAGCTTGTCCCTGAATTCAGGGGTTATTGACCTGATTTTGGTTTTTGCCCTCAAGTTTCATGTAGTGCAGGAAAGAGGAAATGTTACTGAGGGCTTAGTCATGACTGTCTGGATCAGAGACCTTTTATCCTGATCTGTAATTACAACTTGGAGAGTTGCTGGGGCTCTTGCAAACCTTGGAGCAGTTGTGTTCAGGTTACACCAGGCACCAGTTATGCTGTCAAGTCATTTCACATGAGTTGTAATGCTCTTGCTCTGCCCTGTGCCTGCAGGTTTTGGATGCTGTCAAAAAGCATGGGGTGAAGCTGACAACTGTCCTGACCACCCATCACCACTGGTAACTATCGGCTGTAGTGGGATCCCTCTTCCCTCTGTATAAACACAGGCAGTCAAGAATTGTTGCTTTTCTGGATCAGATTGGTCTCTAAGCAGGAGCTTAGGTGTGAGTGGAAAGATCGGAGCGGGGAAGCATTCCCTTGGGCTTGCTATCAACCAAATAGATTGTCTAGATGCAAGCTCTGTGTGCCAGTGCCTTTGAATTTTAAGATGCTGACTTCTT